AAAATAAAGAAACAACAACAGTCGATATATATATATTAACAGAAAACCCATTCTTTCTGTGTAGAAAAGCGGGCAAATTAAAAAAAATAATAATACACTAAAGCCTTATTTCGTTCCTAGCATATTTTTTTATTTCGTAATTTAATTTGGTACATAATCATGCTCTTTACAAAGAGTTAGGGTTAGGGTTTAAGTTTAGGTTTAGTTTTTTTTTTTTTTTTTTAATTTGTTTAGGTTAGGGTACTTTTATTTTATTTTATTTAAAAAGAAAGCTTTACTATAAAACAAATAACGGTTGAAAGAAGAACAGTAAGATCAGTTAAAAGCAGTTAAAAGGCCGTTGTCATTGCTTTACGATAGTGCGCAGTAATTTAGACAAGTAACAGGAGTAATTAGGCCAAAAAGTTATGATTGCGCGACGGAAGTGATCGGCAGTGAATCTAAATACACAAAGACAGTAAAAGTGATAATAAATTGCTTGTTTAATGTGGCAAGTGAGATAAGGTTACAAAGATTGTCCATGCAGAAATTTAGTGAGTAAAGGTTGATAGTTTAAGTTTGTTTGTGGAATTAAAATAGTTTGATATCTGTAAGGAAAATTGTCAATTGCGTAAGTTCAAGTGATAGTGTGTATGTGTGTGACAACTGCTAGTGTTGATTTAAGTTATGAAGAGTTGTTTGCCTTTAACTGATAGGCTAAAGTTGATTAAATGCACAATTACTGTTTTGTAGTGATAATGTCACTTTTTAGTAAATTGTAAGTTAAGTTTCGTCACGCGGCAATAGTTGTGTGAGTTGTGTTGAGTTGTTGATAGGTTGGTAGTTGTTATTGAGTCAGTGTGTTGGCACGCGTGGGGTCTACTGGTATCTCTCGAAACTCAGTGTCTGACTAACTTGAATTAAGTCGAGCGATTCTTTTTATAGATTTTCGGGTTTCCAGATAGGCTGCAGGGACCTGCGCGGGAAAAAGGTTTGTCTCAACTTTGCTACATTTTAGTGTCCTTTTAACCAATGGGGGATTGAGTTTGGAAAAGTAAAGTGATGATTTGTTAAAGGTTTATTTGGGGAAGAGTGCATCTTCCCGTAGGGGGTGACAGGCAAATGTGGAGGATTCTATAGAGTTATATTTTTATCGGCGCTAACGAAGTTGAATTAATTATAAAAATGTAGTTTTAGAAGAATAAAGTTCTTGTTGCATGTTTGGAAATGTTCTGTAAGTTTGTAATGTAGGTTGGAAAAGTTCGTGAAGGTTCGTACGTGGGTGAATATGCTTTTAACTTCTGATCGTCATGGTCGAGAAGAGAATGCTGAAGATGACATCTTCGCAGAAATTTGGAAGAGTAAAAGAGAATGAGCGAACTCGTGTCTGTTATTTATAGATAACGTTATCACGTGACAGGATCAAAAGAACTTGGCGATGGTCGCCTATATAAGCAAAGAAAAATCTTAGTAAACCAGTGAGATCTCAGCTGCCTCAGAAATCCACGACAGTTGAAACCATGTGCCAATCTCCTCACTCACACCATCACTCACATGCTGAATATTCCCTATACTCACATAATATTTTTCTTACACAGCAAAACTTTTGAAAACATTTATTACCAGAAACTATTACAACCTTATTACTTTCAGTGAACTTTGGAACAATTTATAGCTAAAGAGAGACAACTCTTGTTTTACTCAATGTATGCTTTTCTTTCACATCCTTGTTTGTACATCTTGTTAAATACACATTTTATGCCTTTGGCTTATCCTCTTTTTCTTCACGTCAGTTTGGTTTCCTAATCTAAGTTAAATAAATGTGGGGAAGTCTGCTACAAGAAGTCCAGACTTTGGTGTCCGTTCTTTGATTTTGATTTCTCATGTCTGTGAACTGTTAGTGAAAAAAATTAAATAAATAAGTGAACCAATTATTTTTTTTTTATCTTATCATAGGCCTAGCTTTAATACTGTAGTGGTGCTGTAAGTATTGTTGGCTAGGGTCACCGTGAATATAATAAAGAAGGAAAGCTGTGTTCTTGTAAAACAACACCCCACATGAATAATGCACAACAAACACGAGAGAAAAATAATCAAGCTCAGTGAACATTAATAAAATATTGTATTAACAATGATATACAAATATCAACAATAAGTATAAAGAAAGTTGCTTCCCTTTTTCCGTAATAAAAAGGGTAAGTTTAGCTAATAAATGTTGAGTACAATGTTGAATGTTATTTAACTACAAAGTTCAATTGAAGTCTTAGCTAAATAAAGAATAGTTCCACAGTGTTTTATCAGTGTAGAAAAATGTAATGTTCATGAGTGATACCAATAGGAATTAGTATGATTACTCGATTGAGTAATAATTAAGAATTAAAATGTCAATATAGCGCCGTGCCTTATTTTCCAAGAATTGAACTGCTACTGATTGTTAGCATACAGCGAAAGTCTTTTTATAACGATGGGTAGGATCCGGAGAGCGTGGCGCTAAAATATAGAAAAGATACTAAAATACGCGATTGGTCAGGAAATGGACCAATCCGTGATTTTAGAGAAAATTTCAAATTACCTGCGATGGCAAAATTGTCATATGATAAGTATCATATTTTTACGAACCAATGATATTGAAAGAAATGGAGGTGTGGCACATGTAAGTGATCCCACAATACCGATATAAAATCGTTACTTTTCATAAACTAAAAAATAGATCGATAATTCAATTGCAAGAATTCCAATGCTTTAAAGTTTAAGGATATCACATGCATTTTAATTTTTTTCCGGAAATATCGTACAGCAATTTAAAAGAAAATTGAAAATTAATATATTTTTTAAGTGCAGAAACTTTATTTAAAGTTCAAAACTGGGCATTTTTTTTTCAATTTACAGATTTTTACGGTAGCAAAACAATGCAATGTTTTTGATTTTTTTTAGATAGTTTAAGTTTTATTAAGCAAAAAAGTCTAAGAATTAAAAGTATGATAACATTTATTTCCGTTTTTAAAAGTGAATTTAATTTTATTGGACTTTTAGTTCTTAGTCTACTACTTTGCTAAGAATAACTACAACGACGTAAAACAAGATAATTTAAAAGGACATTGCATTTTTTTACATTGTTAAAAGAAAACCAAAACGTGTCTCTGTTGTTAACGTGGCATTTAATTTATGATTCCTCACTTCTTAGAATTGAAATAAATATTTTAAAAAAACCTGATAAATTATGAATTAAAAGGACAATTTGTTTTTTGTTTTTCTTTTTTAATAAAACAGAATGTAAGTAAACAAAAATAACTTATCTTTTTTAATATCGTAAAAAGTTTTTAAAGTTTTCCATATTTAGAAAAAAAAAGAAAAAAAAAAGAAATACGTCTTCGTTTTTTATATATCCCAGTTTTATTTTTTAAAGAATATATAAACATAATTGTACTTTTATTTTATAATTTATCAGTGAGGAGTTATAAATACCACGTTAACAAAAATACGTGAAAAAAATCCTGGCATCATACGGGCATTAGATTCTAAGAAATGGATAAAAATATTAAAAATTGATTGAATAATTTCGTCGTTGACTATATATATATATATATATATATATATATAGTTATTTCTTTATGCTTGTAAATGATGTGATCTGAGGAACCAGGAAAAAATCAATTTCCTGGGGAAATAAAATGTAATCAATGGACCCTTTAGGTTGTCTGTTTTTTTAATTTAAATTTATATATATATATATATATATATATATATATATATATATATATATATATGTGTGTGTGTGTGTGTGTGTGTGTGTCTGTGTGTATATATATATATATATATATATATATATATATATATATATGTGTGTGTGTGTGTGTCTGTGTGTGTATGTATATATATATATATATTAGGTTGGTGCAAAAATAATGACGTAATAATGTCGTTTTTGGACGTATTTTTAACGTCAAAAACGACATCATTACGTCATTATTTTTGCACCAACCTAATATATATATATATGGCCTGACGATTGCGTCTAGCATGAAACAGGTTGTCGCCTTTAAATGTTGACTTCACTGTTCACTTTTATATTTACACACGCCCTATCTCTGATATTGAGCACTTTATCCCTTTATCACATATTTATAAATATAGCACACCTTAAGACTATTTCTTCATATATATATATATATATATATATATATATATATATATATATATAAAAACGGATATAAGAGAGTTGTCGGGACCGGAGAAGAAGTCTCTTATATCCAGGTTTCTCTTATATCCGGGTTTGGTCTATTATATATACATTAACACAGGCTCTAATTTGGAACCAGAGAGAATCTCTCTTATATCCGGGTTTCTCTTATATCCGGGTTTCTTATATCCGGGTTACACTGTATATATAAATATATATGTATGTATATTACAATATATATATATATATATATTACAATGCACATTTAACCATCTCTTTATATATATATATATATATATATATATATATATATATATATATATATATATATATATATATATAAAATTAATAAACTTTTTTTAACTCAGATGTGCATTGTAATAGTACTCCTTCGTTGACTGTAGTGTAAACTTTAATCATAATGTCACAATGTGCATTGTAATTCCTTCTGCAAACTTGAGGGCCGCCAAAACACTAGCTATACCACTGAGTTAAAAAATTATTAATTTTTACGAAAACTGAATAACGATATGTGTATATTTGTTACAGTTATTGAGCTGTTATTTGTGAGATGATCTCAAAAGCCATTGTTTTATCTCCCTGCTTAACATTCTTAGTTCGAACAAGCGAAACAGTAATAAAATAACACTAGAATATGTACATCACAATTTATCTAATGAGAAACCCTAAAAAAAAAACAACACATACACACATAATAAAAAAAAGGAATATGTGTAGGGATTTTATGTCCCTTACGATCTCTCATAAATGTCGTGGCATTCTGTAAGCGCCACGTGTGATTTTTTTTCTTTTTGTTATTGACATCACTTCCGCCAACAAGATGGCGGACTTAAAGCGTCTCGCTTCTTTTCTTCTCCTCTATTTGGTATGTATTTTCCTGTTTAATTTTTGCTTTAGATAATTCTTATACTTACTGTGGCCTGACTATAGAAGTGTTTTGCGAAAGGGTTACTCTGATTGAACTTATTGACTTTTGATCACCTATAATTTATGATAAAAAATATACTTCAAGTCGTTTCGTCTTTTCCACACACGCACTTGCTTTTTAAAAGCGAAAAAATAAAACTGATTTCTTTTTGGGATTTTCTTCAGTTTTCATTGTAAAACTGATTAAGATATTCCCTTCTTAGAGAAGCGAACAATCAGATGTGGCTATGTCGTAGACTGATCTATCTTTCTGTTCGTATAATAATCGATAGATTCAGATTTTCCCCGAAGGGATTTCTGTTTTCGGTGCTTATTTGTTTGTTCATTTCAATTTCGGATGAAAAAAAAAAATCCTTTTTTCTTAATCAACCTTCTTTACTAATCTCACTCATTTGTTGTGAAATAACACAAAGAAATAAAAATAAAATACTTCATGTGACTGCTTGAGACAAGATCCACTCGTAAGAAATAGAAAAACTTCTTTTTTTTTTTATTTTTATTGATTCATAAAAACCTTCCTTAGACCGCAGCACTTATCAGAATCGAAAAATATATAAAAATAAAATAATAAAAATATTGATTTATTATCGATTTAAATTTTAAAAGGGAGGTCCTAATTTTCAAATCGATCCCTGAATTGAATTTTTACATAGTTGTTGGACTTAACGTAGGAAAACAAGACTTTTTTTTTTTAATTTATTTGAAGTGAGTGTTACAAAAAAAATGAATTCTCTTACTTAAATAACGGAAGAACGGATATATATAAACACGTTTTAATTCTTTTTAATAAAAATTGATAAATTCTTTTTAATAAAAGTTTGCAAAAATTATATATCCATTTTTATTCTAAATTAAGAAGATAAATAATTATGAACTTCAAACGTTTGTGCATGTGTTTCTGAAAAATATCCCATACAAAAATAAGTTTTTAAAAGATGTTTAAAAAAAAAAAGTTAAAAATTAAAAAAAAACAAAACAAAAACTGCAGATATCAATGAGTTTTAAAATGTTAAAACTTTAACATTTGTAAATAAGAGCAAATTAGCCTAAAAAAACATTTATTAATTCTGTAAAATCTGAAATTAAAGTAAATCCCGCTTCTAAATTAATAACAAATAAATATTTTTAGAATTCTGCAAAGTGCTGTGATCTAAGGAATTCTAATCAACAAAACCCCTACCCACCACCAACAAATTCCCCAAATTTTTATGAGTGGGCCAGACTTTTCAAGTAATGTTGATTAAATAAAGTAACTAGTATATAAAATTAAAAAAAATCCCGTCTTTTAAAAAAAAAAAATTGTATCTTTTCTGTTAATTCACTCCCAAAAAGTTACTTAACAACACAAATAATTAATTCACCTCAAGAACTTATGAATTTTAAAAATCAATGTTTGTTTTTAATTAAATTTCTGGTACTCTTTTCAAATTATAAATTTTAAATCAAAATTTGTTTAGCTTGCCTCACAATAATTCCAACCAAAAATCAAGGAGTTATGTTATTCACATTTCACAGTAAGTGCAGATAATATTCAAGGTATTGACAAGGAATTTTTACAATTAAAAAAAAAAACAAAAATCTGTTTTTGGTTTGTTTATCAGAGTGAAGACAAATGAAGACCCCCCAACACAATAATACTTAGAAATAACATGCCTGATTTGCTAACATTTGGGGCTGTCACAAAGGTCAACCCAACCAGAGTGCAGTAGGAGGCCTTGCTCTAGAAGAATTTGGCATGAATTTTAGTAAATATAATTTTTTTTTTTTTTTTGTTGAATTAACAGAAAAGTTCTCCGAAATCTAAAAACGAAAAAATTTATACAATTTAAAAATAAGAAAATATCAGCTCTTAAAAAAAAAAAAAAAAAAAAAAAAATGTAATTGTTTTCATCATATAGCAAACAAATAAGAAAAATGAATTCCTATATAATTAAAATTAGGTGTTATTTTTGTTATTTTGATTAATATCTCTATATTAAGTTTATATTTCTTTGTCATATCTACATGTTTATAGTATTTACATTATGATTATAACTACTGGTAGTTACTATAGTGGTTTTATAATTCAAAAATAATCCTTGCCTATCTACGGACAATCAGCTTTAATTGATCACTATCCCCTCCCCCCCATTAATCCATTGATGAGAGGTTTGTCTGTACATGCAATATGTATTAATTATCTTTGCATGTATTTTTAAAGGCCATAAATTGGTGTATATTTGGATAAAGGATGTTACTGAAGATAACCACTTGTAAACAAGTAAACCCTACTTTGGTGACTTCCACATCGAAACACCAAATTCATAGACCCTCCACACTCTCTTGTTTAAGCGTTCAAGATCAAGAATAAAAACATTTTTTTTTTTTTTTAATTTTAATATATTTGTTCCGATTAGCAAGGGATCCTCTTGGAAGTCCTCTTATTTTTTTTACTTTTTACTTTTTTGCTTGCCTTCAGTCTGTTTTATGAGTATCAAATTTTCCAAACCCTCTTTTCTCATTATGTGCTCTAGAAATTTTAACTGTCTTTTCCTGATGTTAAAATATAAGTGCCCATTTTGGTTCTATTTTCTGTAAAATTTCGTCGTTGCTCACTTGTTCAGTCCAGAAACAAAAACTATCATCTAACCAACCAACCAACATGTACAAGCTGCACTTTCAGTGAAATACATTTTAACTGAATCTATTTACTTAGCACCTGTAAGACGTAAATACAAAAAGAAAAACAGCACAAGAAAACTATTTGAAAATACTGAAACCGTCAACATAATGCCCTAGCTTAAAGAAATAGGTTGAAACAAAAACATGTAACACCTATAATAAATCATCTACAATCTAAAAAAAACATGTTTACTCTGAAGGTATAAAATTATGTCCAAAGTATCTGTAGTTGAAGACACAAAATTGTATAGAAAATATTTAAATTTTGATATTAAATAACCCATAGAGTTGTTGATAGACTGGTAAACAAAAACAACAAAATCATGTTTAGTCCACCATATTCTCAGCATTTTTTTCAATATAAAAATAATTAAATTACTCTTCTGTCAACTTGGGGTGAATCTGACTACCTTTTGAGGTTTTGCCTGGATGCATTGGTTGAGAAACGCTGATTTTAAACAGTAAATTTCAGATACTAATTTTTTATTTATTTTATTTCCTTTTTATTTATTTATCTATTTTAACAAGTGCTGAACAAGAACAATGAATGTCTTTTGTTTTTATTTCAGATGTATGTTGTAGATTGCTTGGAGATGTCAGCTTCAGAATGTCTCACTCTGGGGATGTTACCTGGCCTGATGTGTCATTCATGTAATGATTTGGATAGATTTCACCTTTCACCCTTAAAAGCTGACTGCCAAAGCTGTTGTGAAGCAGACATAGATGGAGACAAACCACAACAGGTAAATGAAGGCATAAAATTGTGCAGAAAATATTTAGATTTTGGCATTTGTTGCAGGCTGGTGTATGTGTTGAGAAATAAACACATGTGTGTCTTTTAAAATGCCCACAACAAACATGAAAGACTTGGGATGTGATTTTATGCATCCTGAGTCTGCCATGTTTGTTGTGGGCATTTTAAAAGATGCATATGTTTATTTCTCAACAAATGTATAGAAATAATAAGAACTAATATATACCATAATTCCCCATGTATAATACGCATTTTTTCTTAAAAAAAAATTAGAGGCGAATATTATGCACTGCTACAAAAAAAAATCTTTAAAAAATTGCTGTTTCATAGGTCAATTTCAGTTGTGAAATGGCTACTTGCCACAAACATACGACAATTTGACACTAACATTCGGCGAATGCGACCCCCATAAGGATGTCAAATACAATCATATTTACCTAACAATACTTAAAAATGTAAAATAAAATAAGAATTATTTTAAAACTAAATTAGAATGATATTATTCTATGTTTAAAACAATCTTTTTTTACTAAGAGTAACAAACGCTGACCGTAATGAAATGGAAGAGGTACAATTTATAGGGTTTGATTACCAAACAAGGGGTGCGTATTATGCGTGAGTAGAAGCATTTTCCTACACATTCAACACAATTTTAGAAGTGTGTATTATACATGGGGAATCACGGTATGTACAAACAAATGATAATGTATTAACAACAAAGTTATACAAACAGCAAAGATAATATGTGTAACAAATGAATGTGAAAACATTTAAACTTCAAAGGATGTAAAGTGAGTGAAAGTGCATACATACGTGTGTATGTTAGTATGTTCCTGCATTTCCCAATGGGAAATACATCTTCCTCTAAAGACTTTCATGTTGATGTGTAAGCAGAAAAGAGTGAGAAAATATTGCTGAGTATTTATAGTCCGGAGAGCGACTCCTAGTAGTGGTTTAAAAAATTAGTAATAGCTAATCCGACACATTAAATAACCCATAGAGTTGTTAATATGCCACTAAACAAAAACCACCAAACCAAACCATGTTCAGCCCACAGTATTTTTGGCATTTTTTAGATATAAAATAATTAAATTACTTTTAGGGTGCAACTGGTTACCCTTACATCTTTTGTTTTGGAACTCCTCTATTCATGATGTTACTGAAGATGTTGGAAGAATAATTGTATCACTTCAGAAAATACATAACTTACGCCCACATCATGTTGAAACACCAATTCTTGTCTAATAACCAAAGTTATTCAACATCGAGCCCGGTCAATGCAAGTTGGGTGACTGCTTGCAAATGCTGGTGCTGTAATCTTGGATGTGTGTTTGGTGACACGTGATAACCATTATCTCCAGTTCTAGCTGTAGATAATAGCAAAGATGTCATCTTAATACTAAGTCTGATGAGTCGGATAAAGTCAAATTGGTAACTGAAAAAAAAAAAAAAAGACCTACAATCTGTTGGCAACTCTGAAATGCAATGTCAGTCATTATTTTTTGCCTTCTGGATTAAAAGGCATCTTTTAATCCAGATATGTAAATGATTTTAAAGTGACACAAATTTAATATTAACATGTTCACATCTATTTTAGATATTAGGAACTTTTATGCCTGTGATGGCAATATAACTATTAACACGTGGTCTTGTAAAAATGAAATGATATGTGACAGACATCCTGCTGTTAACATTAAAAGAAAAGAATGGCCGACAAACACTGGGAAGAATTTAGCATAAAACGAAACTGCTAGAAAAAGTCCTTTGTGATTTTTAAATCTTTTCACCCCCAAGCAAGCCATTAAAGCAAGTAAGTCGGAAGGGGTTTACTAAATGCTAGAGAAAATGGAAAAAGAAAGCATTATTAAGAGAGGACAATAAAAGAACAAGAATTAAGAAGGCAAAAATTAATGACTGACATTGCATTTCAGAGTTGCCAACAGATTGTAGGTCTTTTTTTGCAGTTACCAATTTGACTTTATCTGACTGATCAGACTTAGTGTTAAGACAAAAATAAATAGTTGTGCCATCAGCAAAGATACTGAGTTGAGAATTGATGATGTCAGTAAAGGTCGTTGATGAAAGTTAGGAACAACATAGGTGCAAGCATAGAGCACTGGGATGGGGGAGGGGTGCTGACATCCGCATTGGTGAAAATAATCTTGATATTGAGTATTTACTAATCATAATCAAAATAACAGACTCTTGAGGATTAAGGTATTCAACATAAAAAGTCTTTGAAAATGTGAGAAAAATTAATTTCCTAGAAAATTCTTCCAGGCTTCTGTCTCTCTGCGTGTGTCTGCCTCTCTCTCTTTCACTGTTTCTCTCTCACATACACACACACACACACACACACAGAGAATATTTGGAAAAGTATCATATGCAATTCATTCATTCTGAACCTGGGTGGAGGGGGTCAGGGTTAGCTGTACCAAAATCCAAGATGTCATAGATACCATAGTACTTTTGAAGAAATTTCATGGTACCACCACCCTGTCTGGAAATTGATATTTTAGTGAAACACCCCACATTATTAATTGGTTGCATTCTCATGTCCAAATCTGCCTGTGTTATGGGAATTAATCTGCCAGCTGTTGTTCTCGGGACAACCTTTTAAGCTGTTGATGGTGATGAAAAAAAGAAATCGAATTCATTCACATTGAAAAGAAATCAAATCAGATAAAGTACAAATCCAAAATAATTTTCAAATTCTGGTAATTGCGATTGAAATTATCATTTTTTTTTTTTTGTCTTTTCTTGCAATCAGGACAGTTTTTGTCTCATGGTGGAGATAGACTAGACACAGAAAGAGCTCTTGTTGATTTTTGCCATGAACTGTTAAATTTGGCTGCAATTCATGTTATGTGGTATGTTTTGATCCTTGATCCTTCCCCTTTTTATCTATACCTCATGCACAGATGTAATCATAAACACAAAATGCGCACAAATATTTAACAGAAACATGCTCAACTCTATTCTAAAGTGTGTAAATTGAATTCAGATCTCCATGAGTTATACTAACATTAGTTAAACAAGTCGAAGGCAAATGAAACCTGATTGTCTAATGAAAATCAAACTAAAGAAAATTAAAAATCTCAGAATTTCTTTCTTCTTTTTCTCCATATCTCATTCTCTCGTGAAGTTTTATTAAAAATGAAACCTGTTAGATTGATAGATGTTTCCCATTTTTTTTCTTTTATCTTATTCTGTCAGATTCAGATCCGTATTTGATCACAACTCAACTTGAAGAGCATAAAATTTCTAATAACTTAATAATTCAATATTCTTAAATGCTGACATTTTGCAGGTCAGTAATTTGATATATATTTTAAATGTTAGGTAATTTTTATCTTTCTTCATAAAGTTAAAGAAATTTTATTTGAAATTCATATCCACTCAATAAGGATATCCTATCTTATTGATAATTTTGAATAAAAGGAGCTTTTTTATTTATTTATTTTTTTTTAATTTCATCTGAAATTAATTTTGTTTATTAAAATTTTATTAAATTTTTTTATTTCATCTGAAACTAATTAACGAACGTGTTCTGATAATTTGAATCTTGACTCCTTCAGGTTTATGTTGAAACAACAATTGTAAAATAAAAAATACAATAAAACTAATTAATTATTTGATTAGAAATGCTTTTAATTGCATTTATGAATAAAATAATATATTATGGGGACTATTGTTTAAGAAAAAAAAACTTGTACCGATTTTTTACAAGAAAAGATTTTAATTAAAATAATTTATAAACTTTTAAATCTCTGTATTCATTTGTAGTAAGCTAGTGATATTGTTATTAAATTAAAAATGTATTTACTAATTATAAATTGGAAAGCTTACAATTCAAGTAAACCCCCCCAACAAGTATTTTAAAAATTTTTAATTATTATTCTGTGTGTGTAAAAAAAAAAAAAAAAAAATTCCGATTTTGGTAAATACTGATGTAATTTTTGATAATATACATTATCAAAAAATAAGAGCAGTACCTATATAGTAAATTTATAGTAAATTTAAAATTTATTAGTCATTTTTTAATATTTCCTTTTTGTAAATAAAACTATAGAAATTGAATAGGATATTAGAATGTTTCAAAGATTTTAAATTTTTAAGATTACTTTGTATTTCAAAAATTATAAAAAAGCATCTATGTTGTATTGGTCATGTAATTTTACAAGTATTTCCCCTTAAATAAACACAGCACCTCATAAAAAAAATCACCTCAATGTTAAAAAAAAAATGCTTTACTGTGACCTTTTAGACAAGTAATATTTGTTTTAATTCAGATTAAACTTTCAATCAGTTAATCTTCCTCAAATAAAGTTTCAGAAAAGTATATTTTATTTTTGAAAGTTTTTTTTTATAAAGAGAATTATGCTGTATTGACAGATTAGTCAATGTGGACAATTTTAGTGATTTGGGATTTTTTTTTTTTTTTTTTTTTTTTTTTTTCTCATACCTCCACCCCAAAATTCCAATTGGTTTGAAATGCAACAAAGTATTTTGCTTATTGAAAATATTAAATTTAATCTATGAGCTTGAAATTAAAACTAAAATAAAAGCTTCAAGAAAGATTTTTCATTTTTAAAATTCATTATACCTTTGGTATAACTTTTGTAAATAATTTTGCATTTTTTTTTTTTTTTTTTTTTTAGTAAAAGTGCATACATTTTACACACACACACACATTAATTATTATTATTAAAATATAAAAAATAAATACATTCTAAAATAGATTTTTATAATTCCTTAGCAGTTTAGCAATATGTGTGCATGTGTAACGAAGTAATGAAATTTATTTCTGACAGATTTGTATCACTTTTTGAAAACGTGTGCCACGTTTACACTTTTCAAACAGTATGTATTTATTTGCGTTAACTGGCCTGAAAGTGCTAAGAAGTGGGACGCAGGTTCGAATACTGCCAGAGGTCACAGCACCTTTTCTTTAAAAAGATTTCTCGAATATTCAGGCCGGTAGATGAA